GTGCTTCGACTCTCTGAGCTCGCTTTGGTAGCTGAAGGCATCAGTGTAAGCAAGTGCTTGTTCTTTTATCATAAGGAAGTAGGTATTTTTGAGATTGCTAAGGTTCAGGCAAGATGGATGATGAATTTTTCTTCAGTTTGCTTCCTATTTTTTGCGGTTCAATGTGTGAGCACTTATGTTGGATGCAGTTTATGACTTCGGGAGCTGCTGCATTTAGGGTTTTCTTTGGTTTACTGCGCTTTTCTTTGGTTAATCAGCTTTATAGTTGCTTTGCTAAGTTTATCTGTCATCATCCTTTTTGATTGTCGTTTTTTTTTTTGACATTTTTTTCCTTTTTTCCCCTAAAGTTCCATGGCAAATAAAAGGAAGAAGATTGTCTTGCAGTTTTTGTTGGGGTTGATTAAAAGTATCATGATTGATATTTAATGGGCTTTGGTGTTTAGAATTTGCAAGATTTAACTAAGCTTGGGGTTATATAGATGAATTTCTTCAAAGTGAAGCGATTCAGGCTGAACCAGAAGTTGAAAGTAGAAGGCACTGATCCGGAAACTAATCAAATGCGCGTAGATGAGTTCGAGATTGAAAGTATGGAGTCTGGCCAGAAGGTGGGTGCTAGAGATGGAGGTGTGGAAAAAGAGGATTATGATGATGAAGATGATGATATTGTTTCTAATGAGGTGAAAAGGATGAAGGAGATGAGGAGCAACAGTTTTATGGTCCTCGTACCGGAGGAGTCCAACCTGGAAGAAGAGGAGACAAGCTCCAACGAAGAAGGGAATCAGAGGTGGAGGATGGCTATCTTTTGTCTGATTTTGGCACATTGTACATTAGGTACTGCGAGAGAATGCTATTCTTTGATAAGTTGATTGTGCAGAACATGAAAGAAGCAGGTTTATTGTGGCAGACATTGATTTTCAGTTAAATGTTAATGTAGATTTCTTCATTTCTTCTTAGAATAAGTTATCAATCATTAACGGCACTGTTCTTACTTTGAAAGTTCAATAATGGAGTCTATTAATAAGCCATAATTAATGTTAGCATTGACTTCCTTTGATTTGTATTATTTGTGGAATGTTTTAATATGTATTTTAATGTTGGAAAGTTATCTGTTCTTTAACATTCGAGAGATAATTAACATAGCAATTACATGCAAGATCGTTTTGCAAAAAAGAAATTTTTATTCATTCAAATGGAGCCTTCATCTGTCTCTGATAACTCAAGCCACCAATGTCTTTAGCATGTTGAGACATTTGCTGGGATAAAGTATTTGTAATATGCTTTTTTTGTACCAATAATATATAGATCATTAGATTTTCTTTTAATCTTATTTTTCTTTGTTGCTTAAGAAAGTTCTATTGGATATATTAAGCTTCAGTTATGGACTATGATCCAATCCTAAACTTTTCTTTCCATTTATGTAAGGGACATTTACATACATAGCACACAATTCTTATATATTTACATATTTCACACCTAAACTTTGATTACATAGATAGCATTTAAATTATTAATATCACATAAAATTGCACGATTAACTAATTTTAAATGTGAAATACACATTTTCATGCATATTTTTAAAACACCAAAGTGCTATGTATGTAAATATGAAAGTTTAGGTGGGAGATTAGTAAATACATAGGAAATGTGTGATTGCTATGTAAATTTCCCTTGATATAACATAGTTTAGCTGTCCAGGCAATGAATTAGCTTAAATTTTAAGTTTTTTTATACATATAATACTTTGCCTTTTTATAATATATTATATTATGCATTCTGGCCTTCATGCATGGTTTTGGTTCGGCGTAAAAAATTGCTTCTTTGACACTGTTGTAAAGCCTTTTTGTAAAACATTTAATATCTAACCGGAAATCTTCTATGTATCAACATTAATCACATGAATGGTGCAGATTTGAAGATCTTCTTGTTGATTTTTGGAACTGTGTTTTTAATTTACAATCTTTGGAAATATGCTCCATTTGTCTATTTAGCATGATTTATTTTCTACATGGAATTTATTAGAGAGAGTAACCATAGATGGTTTGGTCACATTAACATCGACCATTTGACTACCCAGTTAGGAGAGTATTGTTTTATATTTGACTATGTTAAGAAAGCTAAAAGTAGACCTAAAAGAACTTCAGCCAATTGTTTTATATTTGAAATATGTTAAGAAAGCTAGAAGTAGACCTAAAAGAACAACATTCTATGCAGAATCATGGAACTTCTCAAATCAATCATATAGATCTGCACGCAGAAAGCTATCTTTGAACCTTAAAAGCCTCTCTTTCAAAAATTGAGATGAGTTCGGTCATTATATTGTTGTTGCAAACAACTCGACTGCGTGTGGTCGAAATGATCATTTTTCAAAAAACAACTATAAATAAGTTGTTTACAAAACACACAAATCAAACAGCTAAACAACTTATCTAAAACAGTGGTAGAATGATCATTTCTCCAGAATCAGCTGTTTTCCAGACGCACAAACCAAACAGCCAGACAGATTTTCCGGACCAGCTGCTCATCAGCAGATTATCAGGATAAACTGCTTATCAGCAGAAGCTGGATAAGCTGCAGCTATCCCAAACAGACCCTTTATCAAGGGGTTGCCTCGGTCTAAAGGGTTCAGGGTGATCATGGTGGTCGTGGATCGCCCAAGTATGAAATAAGGGTGCAAGTGAGTCAAGCTGACTTGTGAGCCAGCTCGGGCTCGGCTCGATAAGTGGCTCGTTAACTGAGCTCGATGAGCTAACAAGCCAAGCTCATGTCAGCCCCAACTCGTCGACTCGTTAGCTTATGAGCTGGCTCTTTTTTAAAAAAATATTAATAAAAAATATGCTCAAAACATTAAATTTCAAAACTTTATCTTTATGGTATTAAAAATGTTAAAAAAATAATATTTAATATTGTATATTAGATGATTCCTTATTATTTATTTTCTAATCATTCATTTTATTCGTCATATTATTATAAAACTAGCTTAGATTAATATAATTTTTTTCTATTTTATATTAAACAAGCCTGCTAACGAGCCAAATCAAACTTGTAGACTTAAGCTCGAGCTCGAACTCAATAAAATTAATCAAGCTCAAGCTCAAGTTGAGGGTGGCTCGAGCTCGACTTGACTCGTTTGCACCCCTAATATGCACTTTTCTTTCCCATATGCATCCCTACACTGCAGTCTCAATCGCATCAGTGTTTATCCAGGAAGTGATCCGTTTGCACTGAGTGCTGGAGTCGATTGTATCGGATCGGAACAATGTGTTCCTCAATCACTTCTGGAAGGAGCTATTCAGTTTGCAAGGGATTGTCTTTAAAAGAAGCATCACATATCATCCCTAGACCGACGAATAGACGGAGGTGATCAGCAGGATTGTGGAGACGTACTTGCGTTGTTTTGTATTTGATATACCGAAGCCATGGGTTAAGTGGATTGCACCGAATATTGGTATAATACTTCGTACCACACTGCAGCATAAACAACCCCTTTCAAGGTATTGTATGGGCGGGACCCACCTTATACATTATGGGCATAGTAGTACACCGGTATCCAACATCGATCAGTACTTTGAGAAGGAAGAGATTCTAGCAGAGATGAAGGGGCATTTATTGAGACCTCAACAAATCATGAAGAGGAAGGCGGACGGACACGGGAGAGAGGTGCGATTTGAACCAGGAGACATGATCTTCTTGAAACTGAGGCCCTACCGACATAAGATATTGGTCAGGAGGAGAAGTGAGAAACTGTCACCATAATACTTTGGGCCATATGAGGTGATGACACGCATCGGGGCAATGGCCTACCGTTTGAAGTTACCACCACCGTTCGCACTACACTTGGTCTTTCATGTATCACAGCTGAGAGTGCGATTGGAGATCATAAACCCTCATCTACATTACCAACGACACTGACAGAGGACTTGGAGGTGATTCTGGAGCTGCTATAGATCGAAGAAGTGTGCCAGGGAGTGGGGGGAGCAAAAGAGGTATTGGATAAGTGGAAATCTATGCCAGACCATGAAGCAATGTGGGAGCCTTACGAGGTGATCTACAAGTAGTTTCTATCCCTACACCTTGTGGAACTGGACCGACCCATCCAAGAGCGATCAAAGGCCATCAAACCAGACTGCAGCAGAAGGAAGCGAGCCGATTCCTTTCACGCGAAGCAGCCGAGCTGCAATTTGCCGCAACAAAAGAAAATCGGGCGCAAGTGGTGTCCACGAGGGGCTTAATCACATGCTCAAGAAGGAGAAATTAAGGGAGTTTGAAGGAAAAGCTAGAAAGAAGAGTTTTTGAAATGTTGTGAGAGGATTCTACTGAGGGTAGTAACCTAGGGTTTGTTTGAGGCATGCATATTTTGTTGTGGCTGCGGTTTTCTTTCTTCTTGTGGTATTTCTAGCGACGTCTAGGGTGTGGGAGAAATGATTTACCTCTCGAATGGTAGATCAATCTTGTATTTTGCTTGTTTTCCTTTGATTTTTTTCAGAGCAGCCCCTTTTTGTATTTCTTCTACCTTTCTATTACCGTTTTGTTGGGGTTTGTTCGTTGATTTTGGTGCCGAGGCGTATCAATAAGCTACGGCATTTTGTTAATTTGTGAATTTTCATGTTTAATGTATATTTTTACTTAATATTGGTTTTTTCTAAGTTTAGATATCACTGCAAATTAAATTATCACCATTCGAATGATTGACGTTCTTTACTTTATAAAGAACAACTAATATAAAAGAAAGAGTCAGAATTTTGTTCACAACAACCACTACGGAGTTTATGATGCTTGAGTAGAGGTACTGCATAATTCAACTAGAAATAAGTAAGATGAATGAACTAAGAAACTCTATTTGCTTACTTAATAAGTAAGCATTATGGCATTTGTTTTGTGTGCTTTAACCTTAATGCACTTTGTTAGCTTATCCAGACACCATGTGTGAAGAATGTAATGCTTTTTTACTTTTTCTACATTAAAAATCAGATTAATATTTAACATTTTTTTTTTCTTTTCAGGCTCCATGTACCATGGTTCTCCTTTACTATTGATAATTTTTGGGCCCTTAACAGCTAAAAGGTTGGAGATTTTAGTTTTTATTTTTTTATTTCAGGCAACAATATTTTTTCCACTCCTTTGTTATGAAATATAGAAGAAATTTCTTTTTTTCTACCGTAGACATTGATAAAAACCTAGTGTTAAGGTTATTTATCTTGTTCAATGGAAAATTCTTTGTTTTTCAATGAACTGGACAATGTTGGGGTCTTTCTTCGATAGGTCGTAAAAATTTATATTCCGCATATATATTGCTATATTTTGTGTGGCTTAGGTAATTTCAATTTTTTATGGATGCAGAGTTGAAAGTCAACCCGCCGCAGATTTATACTGCAGGTATATATCTACCATTTGGACATTGTGATTGTTTTCTTGTTTTTCTCATAGTTTTATCTCTTCCAAATATTAAAACCATAAATGTGAGGCAACAATGGATGTTGAAACTGAAAATGCAATGTCTCATTGTGGGGAATGAATTCTTACTTACTTTTTGAAGCTGTTCCTTTTATTTTGTTGCCCAATTTTTCTTATGTTTAAATTTTTTTTTTTTTTTTTTGCGTTTTCATTGTTTTTTTCTCTCCTGTTACTAAAGCCTAGTTGTTTGAAGCTTGCCTTTTTAATTCATACAAAAATTCATTTATAGCTTCCATTTATTAAGTTTCCACATTAAGCGGTGATCTGAATACCAAGCCCCCTATCATAAAAAATGCAAAATTTTTATGTTAAGATGAATGATTTAGAAGTTTAATTTTTAATTTATCTTTTAGTTAGTTTTGATTATTTTATCATTTTGTAATTAGTCGGAGTTTGTATTTATATGCCATGTTACACCATAAAAAGTTTGATTTGTTTATAAATTCTCATAAGGAAACTAGGCTGTTTTTTTATTATTGGAACGAACCTACCTTTCCTTGTAGTTTGTATTTTGTGTCATCAATTAATTTTTGTATCCACAATAATTTTCTTGTACAACTTATTGGTGATTTTCTCATGTGATTCTTTGTGCTTGCATCTCTTCGAAGGTATCTTCCTATGACTTTTATTGAATGATTTCCTATTGAATGATTTCCTTTGCAATTTTTATTGTTTTTTGAGTATTTATCCTTTGATATCTGGCTATGGTGATTTTAGCAATCGAGTCTCAATCAATTTTTTAATACTTTTGCAGTTCTTTTTGTGGGTGTCTTTTTCTTAGGGTTGATTGGGTAAGATTCGTTATTGGGCTTTATGATTATTATAATTATAAGAGGGGGTTAATGCATGTTTAAAAAAACGATTGGTACTTGAATAAAATTTGTAGCTATATGTGTTATTCCTTCTATTATTTTATTTTTTTCTATTCTACAAGTTTTGATGAACCATTCTTTTTAAAACCCCAAGAATAAGAAAATAATTTCCGAAGTGAACAAAAGATTATAAAGAGTAATTAACAAGCAATCATAAATAGCTTTCTAATCCATAATAGATTCCGTGATAGATTTCAAATTGACAGGCTTCGTTTTGCTTTAATTAATTCAGGAATAAATTCATGATAAGATGTAAAATTAAAGAGTTTTGTCTTCCCTTTTTTGTTGTTGAAGATTCTATATTCACTCTTTCCAAATGATCTATATAGTTGCTAAAAAAAACATTCTAAATATCAGCCAAATGTTTTTTTTAATGGATTTTCTCCTCCATCTGGATTTAGATGCAAATTGTCAGGTTAGAGAGGGAAATTTGAAGTAGTTTGAAACAATCTCCTTTAAATAGTACTAATGACCCTACAACTAAGAAGTAGATGATAGTCTTATCTTATTCATGCTACAAATATAAGAGTTTTTTATTCTCAATCCACAAAGTTGTTCTTTGCGTGGTATCGTGCTCACGCAAACCATTGAAATATGAATTGAGACATTTGTAAGAATAATTGGTTCTTGATCCAATGATACAAGAATTGGATCTTCCATTTATCAGTAATCTGCATAGACTTTACTGTGAAATTATCACTAGAGGACAATAGTAAGGATTATTTTTGGAGTATAATAAATTATCATTATTAATGAGAGAATAGAGAAGATTCAAATCTTTATTAGATGCAAAGGAGTATTCCTTTCCATTGCACATGCCATCCAAAGTTATTGATGTATTGTGAGCTTATCGCAAGAAGGATTTTAAGAAGTATCAAGAGCTCTTTGAATTTGAGAGATAAAGGACATTACTTAATCTAATTATTAAATCTAAGCAGATACATATGCCATCATGAACTTCCTAGACAATGCTTAGAAAGTACAATTGAATCAATTTACGAACACCTTAATTGACAAGAAAGCACTTAATCCAAAAAACAGAGAAGTCATTATTACCAGTGTATTTTTTCTTGATAATTGTACCTGAATGAGAAGAAGTCATAGGATTTATGGTCTATTTGGTTAGAAGCATTAAAAGTGTATTGTTGCCATTAGAAAAGTGAAAAAAATGGAGAAATCTAGTACAAAATTCATAAAAAAGTAAAAAGCGGCATACATGAAGATGAAAGTAGGCGACTCAAAGTTGAATAGAAATGTTGGTATCAGAAAATTCCTAAACAACCCCAAAACCAATCCAAAAAAAAAAAAGAAGGAAAAAAGCATTTAAACCTCTAGTGGCCAAAACCAATTTGAATTGAGCTGTAAATATCAATTTTAACTGATTATTCAAACTATGGCTTTTGCAGGTGTCTGATATAGAACAAAACAAAAACATCATTTTGTCTTTTCCTTTTTGTCCACTCATAGATAACAAACATTAGTAAAACAATGTATCAATTATCAAAAGATGTAGCACTCATGAGTAGCTAAGTGCTAATGTTTTTTATTGGCTTCAGCAATCTGTGCATGATTTCGTTCGTTTGACAAACTAAGAGGATTTCTTTGTAGAATTATCCAAAATCAATGCATATGCCTGAAGCTTTGATGCAAGAGGAAATTATGTCTATGCAAGTACCCACAAGATTTATGCATAAGTGCCAAAAATATCTTAAAAAACAGGCAAAATATGTGCACTAGTCCTAATATGTTTAACTTATTATTCGGGATACAAATGATTTGAAATTATTTATTGCAGAAGTGGCATTCCCATGCAATCTGTAATTAGAAATACTTGTGTTTTTCATGTGTGGTGGTACAATAAAAGTTCAAAAGTACAAAATTGATAATGCATTGTTTTGTTTTGTTGAGGCAAGGCTTAAGCCTCAGGCAAATTTGGGTGTATGCCATGAAATTAAAAAATAAAAAAAAATCTATAAATTTTAAAATAATTCATGAATAGGCCATAAACAATCAATAAACATTTAAAAACAAAATTTAAAACGAAACCCTAAAAGCGAAATAAAACTATTCATATAATTAGAAACAAAAGGAGTAGAAAAATTAGTTAAATACATTTTAAAAGTATTTAAAAGAAAATTAAAAAGATATTTAAAAGAAAACGAAAAAACAAATCAAGAAATATTTAAAATATGTTAAAAAACAAATAAATAAAATAAAAAAAGAAGTTAATTAAAATAAAAAGAAAAGTAAAATTACTTTAAGAAAACAGTTAAAAAAAACTAGTACCATAAACTATTATCAATGTTCTTGAAGCTGTTCCACTACAAATATTGAGACATGTTTAAATTTCTAATCACGTGAAAATGACTGGATGTGCAATTTAAGCCTCATCAATGTAGCATGGCTATATAAATATCCTCTTTGCAATGTGAGAGTGATGTCATGTAAATCATACCCTCAGCAGGCCCCTTGTGGACTGAAAGCCTTAATCACTACCATAATATTTTTTATGATGAAATACTACTTTCAAATGGCATGTGCAAAATGAGAAGGCCAAGGTGATGCATATTTTATATTAGGAATGTTTGAAGTCTCCAATGATGCTCATTGTTAAATGTTACCAAAGATAAAAGTATATGAATGTTTTTCATCAACTCTATAAACGGTCTTAGAAAGTACATGTCTCATGTCCAGTTACCCACTGTTGTAGTAACACGTGCATGTTCCAAATGTTATTAGAAGTTGGAAAATTATACTTTCAGTGTAAAGGCAAGAAATTTCCTTAAATGATATTGCAATCCATGATTGGAAAATCATCCCAAGCATACATACGTGATATATAAATATTTTGTTAGCTTACATAAATCTGATGCAATATCTTTATGGTCTTACTTGTTTAAACTTAAGCTATGCTGGTTTTGGGAACTCTAGAATTCTTCTAAGCCATGCTGTTCTTATAAACGAAATTTCTTGCCATTTTTATTCTGAGACTTTGCCTAATTTTTAGTTATAAATGCCAAACGTTTCCCTTGATGAGAAGTTGTACCTCCGACTAAAAATGAACCTTCTGGAATGGAATCGATTAAACCATTAAGAGAGCTAAATTTATAAGGAAAAACAAGAATGTTTGACCGCAGTATATGCCGAAGCCTTCTTGGATTCCATCAATCAACTTTCCTCTTTTCCTCCCAACTCCCGCAAATTCCCAAAAATATTGCTCAGTCCTCAGGAACTCAGTAAAATACAACTGGGGGTTTTATAGGGAGGGAGAATGAGCAAGGAACCATCATAGTTAAAGATTAGGCCTCAACCTTATGAATGCGCTTGTTGGGATTGTCTAATTCAAGCAATCAAACACAAGTCACTATCGAATGCTGTTGTCCTCCAATCATCACGCAATCAAACAGCCTAATGAAATAGATAATGGTTGAGAAATTAAGATGGAATGGAAGAAAGATATCATGAGGTAGAGGCAGAGGGAGATTCAAAGATTAAGAGTGCAGTGTGACCTTAAGGAATGGTGTGGAGCAGAATTTTTCATACTCTTTTTAAATAATATAATCTGTCATTGAGTTTTTACTAGTATTTGTCATGGCATTAGATAAATTATGTCTCTATTAAGTTTTTTAAAGGCATATGATTCAAGTTGCAATGTAATTATGTAGGCTGTTAAAAACATGTTTTGTTGTAGTGTGAGTATATTATGGGGACCCAACTTCTCAAATGAAAGATTCAACTGTGGAAAAAGTCGCTTCTGTTCTTAAAAACTTCTAACTAGAACATGTATAAACAATGAAAGGGAGGAAAATGGAGGGACAACATTCCTTGGTGTGAATGCTTCATAATTTAGGATATTATGCTAAAGCTGCTGGGATCTATTTCAATGGAAAGACATTCATACATTAATTATATTAGTGCACATTTTACTACTGCTTCATTTTGTCTATTGCTTAAGTATTTTCAGCAGTTAATAATCTCTCACATTCTTGGATGGAACCTGATATTTTTTATTCCATTTAGTTGTACCGGAATGCTTATCAATGCAGAGACAGCTTGATTTTTGTATTTGTAGATTTCCTTACTTCCATGCTTATTCGCGCAATTGGTCAGAAGCTTGGGCTGACGAACTACAAAATCTTGAAGTTCCTCAAACCTTCTGAGCTAGATGAGAGTTCAGGTTATGTCATTTTTTAATTTGAGGCAACAATATTACTATACATCTGTTATTTTTTCAAACACTAATTGTGGGAAAGAAAATTTGAAAGGTCTCCTGAGCTTTATATGGCATAAAAAATTCGATGCTGTTGTGATTGAATTGTATTGTTTACACTTTCATGTGCATATTTTGGAGCTATTAGTTTCTTTCTTGTCTTTTTGAGAGAAAGATATGTTGGTTGGAGTAGATGCACGGCTTGAATGAATAATATTGTAGAATACTTGAAAACTGAAAATAATGTTACTACCTTGCCAATTCTTCGTCCTTGTGTGATTAGCAACAAAATGGGAAATGCTGAAGCTTTGCTGTGTGATAGGAAAGAATATTAGACGGTTTATGCCTTAGAAAATCCATGTGGGAAAGTCTAGAATACTGGAATTATATTTGTCAATTTTTTTATTTCGACCAACTAGTGTTGATGCAAGCTGATTAATGAGCTGAGCACGATGAGTTATCAAACCAAATTTTGGCCAGCCATGACTTGACAGCTTGTGGCTTCCACGATAAATAATATTGATATAAATACAATTAAAATATATTAGGATTCAAGGGTCTGAGTAGTGAGTACAATGCTTTCAAAATTATTAAAAAAAATCTCTCTTCATCTCAATAGCTTTTTATATTTTCTTTATAATTTCTTATTATTTTTATTATTTTTTTATAATAGTTGTTTGACTCCGAATTTCTTTCTTCTCTTTTTCATAATAAATGAGTCAACTTATTAGCCAACTTGAGCTCATATAATTAAAGCTTGAGCTTGAGTTTGATTAATTAGTTAAAATTAAGCTTAATCTGGGGTGGCCCGACCTCGTCTGAGCCGGTTTACATTTCCTATTTATAATAGTGTATCTTTTGGTTGCCAGTGATACTCTCATATCCTGTTGGTAAATTTGAATTTTGAAATGATTGAGATGAAAATCATAGTCATCGGTCCTTAAATTTCACTTTTTTTGGGCAAAAGTAATTTTACCCAGTTCTCTTGCCAAATAAATAGCAAAGTGTTTTACATATCCATTTCTAACATTTTTATTTTCGGCACAGCACTCCAATGATTTTTTTTTAGGAAGGCTGTGAGAGTGGGTTAGCTTTTTCAGACACTATATCTGATCCAATAAATGGGATTTGCTTTTCTGGATAACTTATTATAATCTCCACCCATGTTAATCTACAAAATACATCAATCATTTTTGTGAATCAAATATAAAGATCTAATAAAATGATTAACCAACATTATTTATGTTTAGCTCTACTTATTTGATCGACTTTTTTGCTTTTAGAAGCTTTCAATTTCACTTTCTGGTCATGATTAGTTCTTCTTCTATTTTCAGGAGGTTTAGAGGCTGCAGATATTGCATGTCTGATTTATTTGTGGAATCCTTTCACAATAATGACATGCCTAGGGTCTTGCACATCACCAATTGATAATTTGATGGTTGTGCTGGCCATTTATGGAGCTTGCTCTCGTAAGGACTGAAAAACTTTGCTATTGATCATATATGCACTTAGCTGACAGTATACTGCTATATTTTTTTGTTACTATATTAAAATTATTGAAAATTGCCAAAAATGGTGGTCTTTACATGAAGTCTTCCTTTTTCATAAACAGCCACTTTATTGATATTTGATTTTCTTTTCTCACTAGCACTTAAATTAATTGGCTTTGCGCATATCTAATAGATCTCATATGTTTTTTATAAAGAGTATAAAGACTTAAATTCCTTGTTTTTATCTAAATTGTGATTACTTTGCTATCTTTGCCATCGTCCAGTTTGGTATAACTGTCTTGTACCATAGCCCCCCATACTGAAATATTGGAAACCGGATGATAGCTACTTTTCAGTTTCATTTTAGGAATTTAATTCCTTTTTTGTTCATAAGTATGTTGCGCTTGTTTTTGCTCTCCTTGTATTGCACAATAGATAGCCATAAATATTGAGCTTTGAAGATTTTTTATTAAAATATTATCTTGAATTAATGTCGTCTCAGGTAAACTTTAGGCTTAATGTCTAGTTAAATATTTTTCTGTGTTGTTCAAGTCCAATCTACTTTTAGATTTTCACTACTTTCTGTGAACGTTGAATCTCTATGTTGGCCAACTCATGCTTTGCTACTAAATTGAATTTTAACTATCATGATTTTATTACTTCATTTTTTTATTATAATATTAAAAAATGGCAATGAAACCTACATTTATCAATCTTTGTTAGATTAATTTTTGCTTTTTATCTTGTTACTTGCTCATGTTCTATTTATCACATCTTGCAGCTGATTAATTTTATCTAATGTCATAGTAAGATTTATTATAATGTTAGAAGCGTTTCTTTTACATCAAGGCCTCTTCCTCTTTTCTTTTGTTCTTTAATTACCAAAATGATTATCTTTAGGTAATGATTCATTCATTTCACTTTCAAGACTTCATGGTCAAGCATGATGCTTTGCCTATCTCTAAAGTATTGCCATGTCATAATTTTGATTTGTATGGGAAAATGTATGATAAATTCTTCCATGCATTTCACACTCGTAGAGTTGTTCATCTGTTTCTAGGCGAGTAGGAATCACTTTATATATTATAGCAGAATTTATAGACCATAGCAAATGAAGTCTAGACATGTAAACATATTATGTTTTATCTTAGATTTCTATATGGCTGTTAGTTATCAGCTGTAAATAATAATCTCTTGGACTAACTAGTCTCTATCTCCTACATGCTTTGGCCCCCATTCAAATTAAATGTCAAGTGAACTGAACTGCTATGAAAATTTCCCCCGTCGACATCTTTATAACCATAATGTTGGAATAGGATGTTTGTAATCAGTAAGTTACATGTTTCAAATGCTTCTACTGCCATGCAGGAGTAGTTCCACTGGCAGCTTTTGGGTGGGTTATGGCAACACACCTGTCCCTTTATCCTGCAATATTGCTCATACCAGTATGCCCTTTTGCTCCATAAAATTTCGATTCGAGCTAAAATTTGATTTGATTTTTGAGTAATTTATAATCTTCAAGCCAATTTCATAGCCCTACCTGAAGGCCACCATTTTGACTGGCCGAAATAATCTCTCTGGAAATGTTTAATTGCATTGAAAAATTAGTTGGATTTAATGATTTTAATGATAAACTCAAAATGTATTGGATTATATTATCATCTTGACAGTCAGTATAGTAATTTTAGCTACCCATGATTGTTAGCTATTTTTTCATGGTAAATTTTCTGTTAGGTCAAAACAACACCTAGATGAGGGAGGAATAATGTGAGTCAAACAGAGAAATTTTGTCAAACTGCTTACAGTTTTTTCACATTCCCTGAATTGCCATTCTTCTTGAACTTGGAGCAGTCCTGCCCTTTATAATGAAACCTTTCCGGTAAATATTTGGTTGTGAGAATTCATTGTTTACAAGAACAGTCTGTACTAGTTAATGAACTCTTGTTTTTGCCTTAAAATAGTTCTGCTTTGGAAGCTTGTAGCTTCTTTTTTACATAACTATTAACCTGAATTGCAATTCAGGGAATGTGAGAAAACTGTAAGCAGTTTGAAAATATTGTACGCTCACTATAAAAAAAGAAAAGTTGTCTGCTTTAGAGGATACACTACTGCAAGCCACCGACTTAATAATATTGCATACTCACTATAAAATACTAAATCTAAAACTGCTACTACATGGAGCTTGGAGTAAATATTTTGGGCAGCACGATGAAGATGCGAGCGAAGGACTTCTGCTGAAGAATCAAGACTGCAACAGATCTACATCAGCTAAATATCCTTCTAGAATAAATAACATAACTCATAGGACTTCGAGATGGTCTGCTTAGTGCGACATAAATCCTCACCTCATCTTTTAGGCTTTTGCACAATCCTGTTGTGCAATAATCTTAACACCTTTTAGAATACTGAGGTTGTCGTACGGTACTGCGTAAATCCTTCTATCTTCTTAGGTTATTTACACGATCGAATATCGTGCGAGTATAAGCCCTAAATAATAAAATCGACAGGATTAAACATTAAATAACTTCATTTCTAAAACATAAAGCCAAACATTAGGATAGTTGGGAAGTCACCAAGGCTCTCCTCCGATTCGTGACTTCCCCTATTTTTTTACTCCTTTTGACTCCAGAGAATAATTGTTCCTATTTTGAGTCACTTCCTTTTGACTTTTCTACGTCCTACCTTGAAAACTAAACTTTGAAATCTTCAAGTCAGAACCACTGATCTCAATTAAGAGTTTTCTTAAGTGACTTCGGTCATTTAAGATGTAATTAATTATAGATGTTTGACTCTATAGGGAAATAAGAACCCAGGTAAAATAATCCCTATTTAATCTTTATATTAGGTAGGGGAACTTGTTGACCACACATAAAAATATTTCACAGATCAAACAGATGTTACAAACTCTTTAATTCAGGTGGTTAAGTTTACTACAAGTAGGGCTGTCAAAAAAGCTCGTTGTTCGCGAACAGTTCGTGTTCGATTCGTGAAGCAGATCGTGTTCGGTTCGTTCGATAAGCAAACGAGACGAACACGAACAAATTTTTTGTTCGGATTGTTAAACGAACCAAACACGAACAATGACCCGTTCGTTCGTGTTCGATTCGTTTTTGTTCGAAATATAAATAATTTAAATAATATTATGAAATTTAAAAATAATTATATTATATATATTAAAAATTTATCAAATTTTAAAAAACTAAATTCTATAAATTATAATATATAATTTAGTAAATAGATATTATAAATATTATATAGTTAAATAATATAAGTTTTATAATTAATATAAAATATTATATATATATATTAATATATAAGTATATAACTTAAAAATAGCAACTCTAACCCTACTGTTCGCGAATCGCGATTCATCCTTTCGGCGCACCCAAGCTTTCGTCCGGCTCTTTCCTCGCCTCAAAATCGGAAAAAGTTCGTCAACGAGAGCTTAAGGTTGAATGATTGTGTTCTTTCTCTGATCTCTACTTCTATTTGTCTTCTATAAAGTAGGCGTTGGATCAACTACTCGGTATTCTTGCTTTAGCGCTCGATATTCTTGCTTCAGTGCTC